CCAAAAAAAAAAAAAAAAACTTATATTCTTGAGCCTCAACGGACCAACTTATCACATCTAGTTAACTAAACAAATTTAAAAAAACTAGTAGACACAGTATACCTCCACACAATAAATAAATAACATTCACATTCAATTATTAAGTTGTTTGGTGTAAATAAGGGAAATAGAAATGAGTCTGAAATAATATAAGTAGAAACGGTAACTAAAATATTCAGTAGTTGTGATAGTTTGTTAGTAACTTTGAATCACTATAACCACTCAATGTTGGTATATAAAAACATCAAATTTGTAACTAAGACTCATCCACCAAACACAAATTCTTGTATGATGCAAGTATTAGTCAAGTACTCGGGTTGACCTGCCATATTTTTATATAACAAATGTATATTTATATTATGAAATTTTACAATATTATTTAGAGTTTGGTATTACAACTTGCAAGTGTGTATCTAATAGAAAAAACATGTGTTGATATTCAAACTGGTAGTCTCTCTAAACATTAACGCGTGGCGAAGATTAAATGATCACTCGGCCTGAAGACGGGTCAAATAAATTAATCTCACTCGAATATGAATCAGACTGAAAAAAGATCCGGGACCAACCACCTTGCCTAAAAAACTCGAGTCATGACCGTAGGAAGAATCAACAATTGCAAGGACAACAACTCAGTGTAAATCAATGTTCAGACAAAAAACCCGACCTCTTCACCCCATGGTCGACCCACGAAAAAGAAAGAGAGAGAGAGAGAGAGAGAGAGAGAGAGAGAGAGAGAGAGAGTGTTGACAACCCAATGACATACAGTGAAGAGCTCGGCTATCCCACCTCAGAGGACTAGACCATAGTCCCTTGAAGGTCTACATCTGACAACATATTTAATGCGGAAGTGACACATGTCCATCATACTAACTATAAACAATCATCACATGTGGACCTGCCCTGTGGAGCCGCACGCAGCCATCAAATCACATTAAATGGCAACGTGCGAGCATCGAGAACTACACACGTGGGTCTCATAGTATAAATACCCGTCATTAATTGTAAAAACGACGAATTTAAATTACTCTTTCTAGAGCATCATCTGTACTAGAAACCGAACTGTTCCCTATAGAAAATTCAGGCCATCCGACCTCATATACTATTAAATGAATAAATACTTTTTAACTTAAAGAATTTCTCAAATCCCGTTATTGCGTATTTCGTATAACAACAATATGATTGACCGTGTGGTCCACCTAACACTAGTGTTACTTTACTATCAAATTCTTTAGGAGTTTTATCAATACAAGACCCGAAAGATTAAGTCTCGATTTGAGAAAAAAAAAAAATTCAGGCCTCGCATTGATAGTTTACCCATTTTTCGGGTCTTGTATTGATAAAACTCCTTCTTTATGATTGGATGAGATTGTCAATAATTATATCATATTACTTTGTAACTCAAAGCTTTAGACCATATTTTTTTTCCACTAACCAACTTGTAGAAACAAAATTTGTTCTTTGTCAGGTGTGCAACCCGAGTTGACCAACAAGTTAGACAGGACATAGCTCCGGATACCATGACTGGCTGAAAAAAAAAAATCCGTTCCTTGCCTTAGGGCATCTTTAACAAGAGGTTTATAAACCTCACTTTTAGAGGTTTAACTATTAAAGGGGGAAGGTTTAAGGTTTACAAATGTAAATAGGTTTACATTCTTAAACCTTATATAAACCTCAATAAAAAAATATTAAAAGTACAAAAAGTGGAATTGTATGTAAAAATATTAATAAAAATATAAGAGTATAATGTTGAGTGGGAAACATGTGGGACCATACAAGAGAGATTTATAGATTTTATTGTTATTGGAGGTTTAGGTGTGTCAAGTAAGAATGATGTTTTGGATAAGATAGCATATTGGGAAGTGTAAAAAGAAGTTTAATAAAAATTACTGTTAAAGATGCTCTTAGTGCGTTGCCTTTTGCCCTGTTCTCTTAGTGGCACTTGGTGCAAATTAGTTATTCCTTAATGTGAAAATATTTATTTTCACCTTGTTTTGAGGTCTTGTTAAGTTTTTCACACCGTCTAATAAAAAACTAAGTTTTTCACCCTAGAAAGTGCGAAGGTTATGCGAAAATTGTCGCATATTCATCGCATAACTGTCTATATGCGAAGGATATGCGAAAAACTGTCGCATAACTGTCGCATATCAATTGCATAATTATGCAAAGACATTGTGATGCAGATATTATAATAAATATTATTATTATTATTATTATTATTATTATTATTATTATTATTATTATTATTATTATTATTATTATTAACTAATAATTAGCTTGGGGAATAAGCTAAGTTTAGAGTTAGATCCTTATTTAAAGGACTCTCATCTTTTGTATTAAGCAGTTGAATTTGATGAATGAAAATAATTGATCGTGTTTTCTTTTGGGAGAGTATCCCGTGTTATGGAGAGAGTATCTCCTTTTATCTTCCCATTTGTACACGCTTTTGCTACATCAGTTGGTATCCAGAGACCGGGTACGTTCCACGATGCCGCCAATGAGAGGAAACAACAACGATCCTACCATCTACGACCGATTGCAACGGATGGATGATCGGGTTGATGAACTTTCTATGGGGATCGACGAGTTACGCCAGACAATGAA